TAAGTGTGTGCAGTGATTCAATAAATTAATTTGATCATAAGAGAGAATGTTGGATCCAAAATTTCAAAATGAAAGCAGCAACTCCATCAATCTTTTTATCATGGGAATTGCCAGCCCCAATTTTATCCTTCAATGGAAATTTTTAATGTCTCCTTGCAGGTGCCCTGTGCTACCCAAGGTAACTCACCTTACACCTTTAGAGAGTTAGCTGTGATGTCACTGGGAAAGAAAGGGGGTGAAATGGATTAGGTGCTGCTAGTTGACAGGAAAAGAAAAAAATAGGAGAAGAGAAAGGAAGGCAGAAGGAAGAGGGAAGCAGTAGGAAGTAAAAGAAGGGAAGAGGAAGGAAGGAAATAGAAAGAAAGAAAGAAAGAAAGAAAGAAAGAAAGAAAAAGCAACAAGCAAGGAAGAAATGCATCCTCACTCCTATCGTTCCAGGAGTTGCATGTGACGTCTGTAGACAGTCCACGCGTCTCACAAGCATATAGCAGGGTTGGGAGGACAATAGCTCTATAAACAAGCACCTTGGCATCCCTACGGATGTCCCGGTCCTCAAACACTCTCTGTTTCATTCGGAAAAATGCTACGCTCGCAGAGCTCAGGCGGTGTTGTATTTTGGTGTCGATGTTGACTTTGGTGGAATGATTCCATCAGCGCTGGTCAGGAAAATCCTGCAAATCTCTTGGGAAGACAGGCGGACAAACGTCAGCGTGCTGGAAGAAGCGAAGACCACCAGCTTTGAAGTGATGGTCCTCCGCCATCAACTTCGCTGGATCGGCCACGTTGTCTGGATGTCCGACCACTGTCTTCCAAAGCAGTTACTCTACTTGGAACTCAAGAACGGAAAACGGAATGTTGGTGGACAGGAAAAGAGATTTAAAGATGGGCTCAAAGCCACCCTTAAAAACTCCGGCATAGACACTGAGAACTGGGAAGCCCTGGCCCTTGACCGGTCCAGCTGGAGGTCAGCTGTGACCAGCAGTGCTGCAGAATTTGAAGAGGCATGAATGGAGGGTGAAAGGGAGAAGCGTGCCAAGAGGAAGGCGCGTCAAGCCAACCCCGACCGAGACCGCCTTCCACCTGGAAACCAATGCCCTCACTGCGGAAGAAGATGCAGAGCAAGAATAGGGCTCCACAGCCACATACGGTCCCACAAGAATACTGGAAGACAATCCTCCTCGGAAAACGAGGGATCGCCTAAGTAAGTAAGTAAGTAAGTAAGTCACTCCTATCATTTTCTATATTACATTTAGAGCACTGAGAGATCTGACTCAAGCTAGCTGCTATTTCTATATTTTTCTGGTTCACTGGTATTTTTGGAATTGTACTGAATTAATCTCAGGAAGAGATGTATTTAAATCAATAGAAAGGAAAGCTGATTTCTGTCAGGATGCAGATTTACACTTTATTCACGAAATTAAAGTCTAAGGGTAGAATTCAACGAACTTCTCAAACATCAGGTTTTGCTGATAAATAGTTCTAAAAGAAAGAGAACATTGGATATGTTTTTCTGCACTCATTACATGTAGACAAGTTTCTTATAGCGTTAGATTTCAAATAGAAGACAATTGCTTTCTGGCAATTGTATGTATTTACATGGCTATTATTTGTTGGAAATAAAACCTTTGAGACCTCTGCTGGTGGGCAGTGGATTAGCAATTCCGTAGCAAAGGATGGGGCGGGGAATACATAAGCATATGCAAAGAACACACCAATAGCCAGCAGAGCCAACAGAGTGACAACTGGGAAAGAGAAGAATTTGAGGGAGTTCACATATTTTTTCCATATTACATTGTCTATCAATGATTGTTTTCCCACATGGTGGAAACATCAGTGTTTTTAAAGTACTTCTTGTGGAATTATAAAGTCTGCTGATTCTGATGTGGCCCTGAGCACTTTGAAGTACTGGTTTACTCGTGGTTACCTAAAAGGTAACTGGAGAATCTGCCTGCTGTCTCTTGAAATATGCTTGGTATCGCTTCTCGGCCTTTTGGCTAAGATCAAGTGTAGTATCTGTTCTTATCAGTTTAATATCTGATATGTTCTCTATTTGAGAACTTTATATTAATGGGTTTTTGGAAATGGGAGCTTGCTCTGTTCACTCCATGCATCAGCCTGGTATTGCAGTGCCTCCAAGAATGGTGTGCCTTCCTCTTGGGAGAATATTGTTGGTTCAAAAATAGATAAGAGTGCTATGAGAAATAGGGTAAAAGTTTTTTCCTGACATGAAGTCCAGTTGTGTCTGACTCTGGGGTGTAGTGCTCATCTCTATTACTAAGCACCTGTACTGGAGCGGTACCTATTGATCTACTCTCATTTGCATGCTTTCAAACTGCTAGGTTGGCAGAAGCTGGGGGTGACAGTGGAAGCTCATGCCACTCCCCGGATTTGAACCTGCAACCTTTCGGTCAGCAGCTCAGCGCTTTAACCCAGTGCACCACTATGAGAAAGAAGTGTTCTATATATCTTTTGGTAACTACATAACTTAGATCACGAATTTTGTGTAATGTTGGCAGTTACAGCCTGTGTTGGATGGGGTTACACTCCCCCTGAAGACGCAGGTTCGCAGCTTGGGAGTGATCATGGATTCATCGCTGAGCCTGGAACCCCAGGTTTTGGCGGTGGCCAGGGGAGCTTTTGCACAGTTAAAACTTCTGCACCAGCTGCGCCTTCAACAACATATAAGAGCAAATGTTGGATCCAAAATTACAAAATAAAAGCAGCAGCTCCATCTGGGTTCCCTCCAATCTTTTTGTCATGGTAATTGCCAGCCCCTATTTTATCTTTTTAAGGAATTTAAAATGTCTCCTTGCCAGGTTCTCTGTGCCAGCCAAATCAACTCACCTTACATCTTTAGAGACTCTGCTGTGATGTCACTGGGAAATAAAGGGGGTGAAATGGATTAGGTGCTGCTAGGTGACATGTTTGAGAGGAGGGAGGGAAGAAGGAAGGAAGGAAGGAAGGAAGGAAGGAAGGAAGGAAGGAAGAGAAAAAAAGGGAAAGAAAGGATTGACTTCTAGGTGATAGTATGAGAGGAGGGAAGGAAGGAAGGAAGGAAGGAAGGAAGGAAGGAAGGAAGGAAGGAAGGAAGGAAGGAAGGAAGGAAGGAAGGAAGGAAGGAAGGTGGAAGAGGAGAGAAAGAGAGGGAAGAAGAAAAAAGAGGGAAGGAAGTGAACGAAGGGAAAATGTATGAGCGCAGCAAATAAAAGACAAAGGAGAAGAGAAAGGAAGGAAGAGAGGAAAGGAGTAGGAAGAAAAAGAAAGGAAGTGGAAAGAAAAAGTCATGAAAACAAGGGAAGAAGGAATAAAGAAGAGAGATAGAGAAAAGGTGTATTAGGGAAATGGTGGAAGGAAAGAAATAGCCACGAAGAAAATCCATACCTGGACAATAAAGGGTATATATGTTAGTTATGGGGCCCTTGGTGGTGTAGCGGGTTAAACCACTGAGCTGCTGAACTTGCTGACAAAAAGGTTGGCAGTTCGAATTTGGGGAATGAGTGTGCTCCTGCTGATAGGCATAACTTCTGTCAACCTAGCAGTTCGAAAGCGAAATGTGAGTAGATCAATAGGTACCGCTTATGTGGGAAGGTAACGGTGCTCCATGCAGTCATGCTGGCCACATGTCCTTGGAGGTGTCTACGGACAATGACAGCTCTTCAGTTTAGAAATGGAGAGGAGTACCACCCTCCAGAGTCAGACACCACTAGACTTAATGCTAGTTGTTGTTTATTTGTTAATCACACCAATAAATGTTTCAATTAATCGATTAACTGCATTCATGTGGGACACAGAAGACACTTGGGAAAAATGCTACTTGTTTGCTTTTAAATAATCTCTTAATGCTTCCTACATACACATTGGCATGTAACGGTGTCTATTTTCTTGCTTGCATCTCCACAGCTTCTCTTTTCTGTGTTATTTTTAGAGCACTGAAAGATCTAACCCAAACTATCAGTTATTCCCACCAGCAGCAATTTGGCAGAGAAAAATTAATTTTACATGAGTTTGAGCTATGTCAGGGCTATCAATGACAGAGGTAAGCCCTGCTGACCAAGGTAATAATAATTAAGGAACTGTGAGCATGTCAAAAGTGTATTCTGCCACCACAGAGCTAATTTTCCCACAGCTGCAAGTGATCAGGAGCTTTCCAATAATCGATGGATATGATTGGAAATATTATTTTGTAAATAATATTTTCTGGTTTAGGATGAAATGTGAAAAAGTATACTTAGGCTGGACCTAGGGATATTTGATATGTAAACATGTAAAAGGGACCTTCGTCTCTGGCTTTCTCCTAAAATCGTGAACACAGAAACATTTTTTCTGGTCCACTCTGTATTGTTGGAATTTTACTTAATTAATATGAGGAAGGGGTATATTTAAATCAATAGAAAGAAAACTGATGTAGTCTGTCAGGTTGCAGATTTGCAATTTATTCACAAATTAAAAGTATAAAGGGCATGATTAAACTACTTCCTCAAACATCAGGATTTGCTAATAGAAGGATAAGCATTGGATATGTTGTTCTGCACTCATTACATGTAGAGGCTTTTGTTATGGAGTTACACCTATATATTTATGCATGTAATAAAGGTGAAAATATGTATATGTGTGAGTGGAGTGTCCACTTACACAGACAAGCTCCTGCCTCCAGACCTCTGCTGGTGAGCAGTGGATTAGCAATTCCGCAGCAAAGGATGGGGCGGGGAATAGATAAGCATATGCAAAGAACACACCAATAGCCAGCAGAGCCAACAGAGGGACAACTGGGAAATAGAAGAATTTGAAGGAGTTCACATATTTTTTTTCCATATTACATGGTCTATCAGTGATTGTTTTCCCACATGGTGGAAACATCAGTGTTTTTAAAGTACTTCTTGTGGAATTACAAAGTCTGCTGATTTTGATGTGGCCCTGAGTACTTTGAAGCACTGGTTTACTCGTGGTTACCTAAAAGGTAACTGGAGAATCTGCCTGCTGTCTCTTGAAATGTGTTTGGTATCGCTTCTCGGCCTTTTGGCTAAGATCAAGTGTAGTATCTGTTCTTATCAGTTTAATATCTGATATGTTCTCTATTTGAGAACTTTATATTAAATGGGTTTTTGGAAATAGGAGCTGGAACAGGAGCTTGCTCTGTCCACTCCATGCATCAGCCTGGTATTGCAGTGCCTCCAGGAATGGTGTGCCTCCCTCCCGGGAGAATATTGTTGGTTCAAAAATAGATAAGAGTATTATGAGAAATAAGTGTTCTATATATTTTTTGGTAACTACATAACTTAGATCTAGATTTTTGTGCAATGTTTTCATGGGGTTTTGAAGAGCTAGATTCATGTGTGTAGATCATGTTTTTATTTTTATTTTCTACATTTATTCCAAGGGCTGTTGTGAGAATGAAATGGGGAGAAGTGTGTCCTCTCATAAGAGAAAATGTTGGATTCAAGATTACAAAATTAAAGAAGCAGCTCCATCCACATTCCCTTCTATCCTTTGGTTTACCAACTGCAGAATTTTTATCTTTTGGCACAGTTAGTCTGGTCATACAATTAGGCAGTGTGAAGCTAACACATCAGGTGGCAGATGTTCAGGGAGTACCAAACTAAGGCAAACTGTGCCACTTAGGTTGCTCCATGAACTTGCATGCTTGCTTGTCACTAGAACTGAAATATGATTCACCTTTCATTTTAATTCTCTATATGCATGGTTGGGATAGTGGTACCATTATGTCCTTTGCTTGAGGCAGTGAAATGTTCTGGAGTTGAGTGGATTTAAAGGAAGATGAATGTATAGCCCAGTTGTTTGGGTTCATGGCCACATGATTCCACACTCATCACATAGCTCTTTTTACTGGTCCAACCCACAGATACAATTTTATGACCATTTTAAATGGATATAATACAATAGGTATGATAGTGCTATCAACAATTTAGAATTCTACATTGGCATCAAATTAAGTGTGGTAGCAGGTAACATCTCTGTGTGCTTTTGTTGTTCCTGGAATAATATATTATTAATAATTTCACGTATTTTTCATCAGACAAAACGTTATTGGTTCATAATGTATGTGACAGTGGCCAGAACCTAGTTGTGAGTATGTTTTACATGGATGTGCCTCCTAGCTATAACAACAGTATACTAATTAGATCTTTGCATTAGAAGGTGTCCAGAATTGTGTTATGCACATGACCTTTGCAGAGTGTAGCAGCATATGGACACAACTCCATAACTCTACAACCGAAATATCTATCAGAATATCCTTGGGATATCTATTAGAATGGGTGGGAAGCAACTGGCCACACCATCTCCTCTCCTACTGCTGTTGCCATCATTGCCTTACTTCACAAAAAAGGTATTATCTTACGAATGCTGGACTATTGTAATGAAGCAGGCCAACAAACGAGGGATTATTTTGCATACTTTTTCCTTTAATCTGTTGTCATGAGCTTAACCTGCAAAAGGAAATTCCATCGGGTCTGAATGCATGTAAGAGCTGGAGAATCTGATTTTAGGCCCAGTTGCAACAGCTGCAGCTTGTGTCAAACACCAGGCCAGTCTGGCAATGTTGCTCATAAGTGGTTCCATCAAGACAGTGCCAGAAAGCATTCTTGTTGTTGGCCACTGGGTAGAGACCGCTGGCTTTGCCGGCACAGAATCCACTGCCACCACTTGAACTGCCACCACTTCCAGAACTGCCACTGCCACTTCCTCCACCACTGGGTGCAGCTGTGATGGGAGGGTTGGGCTGGGCTGGAGCAGTGCAGCCTGAAACAGAAAAGAGCATCACACAGATCAATATGTATCACAGTATGAGCAGTATAAGTTCATTCTTGGTGCCCAATTTCTTGTTCCTCGTTTAGGTTAGAACCTTGTGAAACGACAAAAACTCCTGTCCATCACTAAACGCTAAATTAAAAAAACCGGAATTCTTACTAAATTCTTAAAATTAAAAATTATAGGCCAGAGTATTTAAATATGTCATTTCTCCTGGTCTGACCCTCCAGCCCTGATGAAAATATCATTCAACTGTACTATGATCATTAGCAGAATGTCCTTCTTTCTCCCTATGAAACTGATGCATGGCAAGTTCAGTTGGGGGTGTGTTGCGATCATGGTAATAGAGTCACAATCGCAATTAAATAGCAATCATGAATATGAAACAGCTACCTAACTGTATGTAAACTGAAAAAATAATACAGAGGCTGGACTTTTTTTGGGGAATTATAAAGGCAATAAAGTCAAATTTATACTATTGCAACTCTCTTTTGGTGGTTGTTACAGAGGTCAGAATTCTATTCTAACTATGCAATGACCAAAATCCCTCCAAACCTGCCTTATTAGCAGCACAATCCCCTACCCCAAACCTTCCTCATTTTGTGTTATCAAAGAGTAGGAGGATCAGCATGGACATCATCTACAGGGACTTCACAAGGAACTGCAGGGGTCTCTGTGGATGTCTCTTACAGTGTATCCAGCTACAGAAAAGAATCTGAACTCATCAAATTGATCCCCATCCCCCCTGTCCTCTAACAACTCAGAAGTAATGAGGAGGTGGTGGTCTGTCTGTCTGTCTGTCTTTCTTTGTGGAGTGGAGATTGCTGTAGCATTGGCAGATGCAGCCATGACATAGCTATCTGGTACAAAAACATCTCCTGATGCAGGGAGTGACCTAGAGTTTTTTTAAAAAAATACTTCTTAGTACTTTTCATTAATTAGGTGTTAGATGTTTTTCCATAGTCAATTAGTAACAGCATAGATCTGAACCAAGTCTTCTGTAGTGAAAGTTATTTGGTTGCATTATGTGTCCCAGAATTTTGAAATTTGGAATTTTGGAATTTGGTCTTTGGAATTTGGGGAGTTTCAGTCAGAAAAGCTACATCCAAGCTACAGTGGATATCAGCATTGTACTGATAAATGAGAAAATACCATGAGAAATATGCGCCCTACAACGAGTACTTTGTGCATGCTTTAGTCTTTCATATGAATTTCAACATATTTACACTATATTGTCATGGAACATAGACATGCTAGATCTATGAGTAGCGAACGCTGACCATGTAAGAGGAGAAACTGGGTTTGTATTTGGTTTTATTGATTTTATTGATTTTATGGTTATAATGTATATTTGGAGTTAACTGTGTATTGATGTAATTTTGTGTTTGATTGTTTTTATGATGCAGGCATCAAATTGTGCCTTGCTTTTGTAAGCCGCCCTGAGTCCCCTTCGGGGTGAGAAGGGCGGGGTAAAAGAACCCCAAATAAATAAATAAATAAATAAATAAATAAATAAATAAATGCTAAACTACAACTTGCTGATGGCACTTTGCTTAAGACACCTCTTTGCTGTTGCTACTTACTGGCACTTTGTAGTCCCAGACCATTCTTCAGAGCAGTGATCAAGGGGTATTTGCCTTGATTGCAGAATGTTCCAGTGAAGTCATCCAAGTCAAGAGCCCAGACCATGGCACCTCCAAAGTTGTTCTGTTTCAGCCACTCAACCTTTGAAAGAGGAAACAAACTATCAGTCTTCAGTCATCAGGAAAAGAGATCCTGATGCACTAGAATTAATAACTGATTCATAGATCATGGAATTGGAAGAGATTACAAGCTTCTATTGAAAAACTTCCAGAGAAGGAGACTCTGCCACCATCTGAGGCGGAATATTTTATTGTCAAATAGCTCTTACTATCAGAAAGATCGTCCTAATTTTGGGGTGGAATCTCTTTCCCTATAGTTTGAATCTATTGTCCCATGTCCTAGTCTATGGAGCAGCACAAAACAAACCAATTATTTTAATATTTTTAATGTATTTCGATTGGCCTTGAAGTCCTGAATTCATTGAGAGTAGCCAGATATTCCTATACTATCTTTTAACCTATTTTGTGCTGCATTTCTCCAACAGCATCATTTGCTTACTTTTCTCCAGGCTGAACACTGTTTTCCTTTTGGGAGAAGACTGAGGTAAAGAAGGTGTTGAGTAATTTTCTCTGTCCCTTGTTAGCATTTTGCCACCTTCTCCAAGCAGTTGCCTTGCCATTTCCTCACTTTTACCTTTGCTACAGACATGACTGAAAAGACTTTTTGTTTCTGACCACTATAGGAGACGGGGGTTGTTCTGCTTTTTAGCTTTTTAGACTTTCTCCCTATATAAATTCCTCTTTGGTGAACTCCACCCTATTTTCCATTTCTAATACATTTTGCTTCCTCATTGGAACAGTTTGAAATTGTGCCTTCAATACGTCACTTTTAAGAAACTCCCATCCATCATAAGCTCCCTTCTTTTAGTATTCCTGAACATGGGATCACATCCAGTGTTTTCCTATGTTTACTGAAATTAAAGTCTAGAATGCATGTCTGACTATACTCAGCTTCATCTTTCCACTGAACAACAACTTCCAAGAGAACATGATAACTCTTACCTAAAGATTTAGTAGTTCCACCTCATTAACTCTGCCTAGAGCCATATGCGGGTAATAATAATAACAATAACAACAATAAGAACAATAACAACAACAATAATAATAATATCCAGGTCATCACGGTTGGTTGGGATCAGGTCTAAAGCAGTTGATCATTTTGCGGTTTCTTCCACTTACAAGACAAAGTGAGGTTTTTTTTTGGCAGAGTTGGACTTCTAACAAATACAAAGCATAGTTGAAATCTTCCATTACAATTATTCTACCTCTCCTTTTTAAATTGGTGTCATCTGTTTCAGGAAGACATCATCCAAATTCTCAGTCTGGTTTGGAGGTCTATAGTAGATCCCCAAAATGAGTTGTTTCTCTTGCCTTAATTTTTATATAGATGTTATCTACCAGGTTTCCAGAATGTAAGTCATGAAACTCTTTATATATGTAGTCAATGTATATACAGATGACATTGAGTATACTTTCAACATACCTTGATGTTGAAGCTCTTGATGTTGTCATATCCAACCCACTCACTCCCTTGGTAAGCATAAGGGACATCCTGAGGACTATCCCAAGCCTTGGTAGCTCCCTTATTCAAGAAGGTGCAGATCTAGAAAGGGAAGACCATTCAATTGTCATTAGCTAAATTGCTGCAATTGCTCCAGTTTTACATTGTTGATAATTTTTGTAATTTAGTACATGTATGGCAACATCTATGTGACACATACCTCATAATAAGCCCAGAAACCAGACTGTCTTGTGTAAGGTCCAGCAGGCCCAGGGCCAG